CTGAAGAAGTGTAATAATATCACAGGCATTGAAACAATTCTAGCAAAGTTACAACTTAGGAGGGCTGGTCATGTTGTAAAAATGGATGAGCAGAGACTTCGAAAGCTCCGAGCGTTCAGTTGGACGTCCACGCTTATGCTACAAAGACAAGTTGAAAGACTACTTGAAACGTTTCAACATTGATCTGAAAACCTGGAAAGTCAAAGCATCAAATCGAAAGGAGTGGCACAAGACATGTTTCATTCAGTTAAAGGCTTTTGAAGACAGTAGACCGAATCACCGTGATCACCTTCGTCAAGCAGTGAGGCAGAGACACCATCAAAATCCTGCTTCAACAAATTTCATCTGTCAGTGTGGCTTTGTCGCCCACAGCAAGGCTGGGTTAGTAGCGCACTTAAGAAAGCACAAATAAATGACTTTCCCTTACCTGATTTTCTCCACAATAGCCCCTGCTAGCATGCATAAGTATAAAACGAAAGTTACCATCCACTGCTGACTCATTTATCGTTCACAATAGGAGAGTCCATTATATATATATATATATATATATATATATATATGACACTGGATAGCGGAGTAAACAGTTTGTCATTCTATGTAACATTTTAAGTATTATTGTTATATATTTTAAATGTTAATATTACAAATCAATAGATAAATAAGAAAATAATACAAGTATAAAAGTATCATTAAATGCATGAAAAGTTTTGTTTTCTTTTTTATTAAAACTATTTCAAAGATAAATAATTGAAGACATTAACTATTCTGAACCAATAAGAAAATTATTAACAAAACAAAATAACGTTACGGCTTCGAACGCTTTTCCTACAAATGTAAAATACACCCTCGTATTTTTTAATCTATCTTTAGGTTTTTAATCAAGATAATTCCGTATAAATAATTAAGAGTTTAGAATGGATATTTGGTTTTAAAGTTGACCATTTGACAATGAGCTGTTAAAGATATTACCATCATAGATTGGGAAAACACGTATGCTTTCAAATATTTATAAAGTAAGCATCGAGTTATTGCTGACTGTAAATGTCATTTCTCCTTTTATTTTAAATAAATTGAAATTATATGGAATTTTTAATTTTTACATTTTTTTCTTGCCCAGTGAAAAAATTCCGGGTGTGGCCAGCATTTGCTGATTGTACACTAATAATATACGTATATTTAATTAGATGTTTTTATGAAAATCTTACGAAGGGTGATAAATACTGGACTCATATATATACTATTGTGAAATTTAAGGCAGAATTAAATTTCAAAGCAGGCATACATGCATAAATACATATATCATTAATCATTTGACCTCCAAGCAAGGCAATAAAGGCATTAAGACGCAAGTGGTTACTGAGAGTTATAGAATATGAGGCAAAAACTATTAAAGACAAGACAATAAAAAAACAGTAATTTAGAAGATAGAAGTGAATGATTGGCGTTGCATTTAATCAAAATGAATTTCAAAGTTAACTGAGAAGCAAGAAATCGGGGGAGAGTTCACAAGCGAGATTCAATGCAAGGACGCGTTTACATATTATTATTATTATTTTAGGATATTACATGTCAAAATCTCTGCACATTGTAGTTGTGTTTCGATGCGTATTAACGCATCTCATCAGACTCAAATCGTCTGATGAGATGCGTTGATAAGCATCGAAACACGACTGCAATTGTGTAGCGTTATATATATATATATATATATATATATATATATATATATATATATATATATATATATATATATATATCATAAAACTTTTCAAGCATAAGATTACCCAAGAACTACAAGCCCCTTAGTTTGGGAGTAAAGTTTGCAACCACGATTAAAAATAAAAACAGAATAGATACAATAATTAAGCCATTAATGTCCACGCTTCCATTTTTGAGACGATGTCTATTAATGAGTTATGTCTTTAAACTTATAATTAATACTGGATTTTTATTTTATTTTTATAATTAATACCGGATTTTTATTTTATTTTTATAACTAATACCGGATTTTACGGTGGACATTAATGGGTTAAGAACCACAAAGAAAATTATACATATGTCAACAAAGGTTTCATACAAGCAATAATCTCTGCTACATTAGGAAATGAGAATAAAACAGTGTTACCACAAAAGCACATAAAAGCAATAAAATGTTTAGTCAGAAATAAAGCCCTTTCCATCATTGTCCCAGACAAGCAAGGTGGAATAGTTATCGTGAATAAAGATATCTAAAGTGAAAAAATAAGACTTTTACTCAAGAATACAAGCGTTTCTGACAACATCGATGAACATTAAATACCTTCTGAGATCTAAAAGTTCAACAAATTAATTAGAATGTTAGTTAATATGGAAGAAGAAAAATGCTAAAAATTTATTGAATATCACTCTAAAATAGCCAGATTTTATGGTCTATGCATAACATACAAGCAGGTATTCCTATGCGACAAATTATTTCTGGAATTGGCAGTTGTTCCTGTAGACAAGCGAAAACTATAGAAAATATGTTAACTCTACTTCTTCGAACAATTTACACTTCACATATTAAAAATTCCCTGCAACTACGTCGAAAGACCAATACATATATATGAAAAATTAATTCAAGTTTACTTTATATATTAAATTCTTTCGCTGGTTCCCAGACTTCATGAAATTAAGCGTTCAACTAGGCTGGCATCTCGCTCTCACCCTTTCACTGTCGAAACTGTTAAATGTAGCCGTCTCTTCTACTCCAATAGCTTCATGTCTCGCACTTCTCGCCTGTGGAACTCCCTCCCCATTTCTTGTTTTACTGATAGCTATAATCTCCAACTAATCAAATGTTACGTCAATCGACGTCTCCAGATGCCCCGATCTATCCCCTAACTTTCTCTTCATCCTTTCCTCTATCAATCCTCTTTGTACTCGGTCCAACTTTGTAACCCCTTCCGTGCTAGTGGCTTCCCGCCTTGGGGTTGAATGCTTAAAAAAAAATTAACAAATTCTTAAATCTCCTACAAAAACATCTTTTTTAAATAAAATCTAGCCTCTCCCTACCGACTAATTAGAAACCAGTGTTTTGATGATAATTCTTTAGACAGAATTTTGAACCACCAATGAGGTTGCCTTTTAGTGGTATCTTAGCATGCATTTTCTTAGAATTTCTTGAAACTAGTCCTTTAAACAGCACTGGTAATGATATAAAAATAAACGTCTCTCGAAAATCCACTAACAAAATTGATCTCATAAACTTCTACTAACACCACAACAGCACAATAAAATCCGTAATAATTATGTTTCTAAAAATACTTAGAATTTATAGCCCTTAATATTTATATAATGAATAAAAATACATTGATAATACTAAACTCTTTCAGTATCCTAATTATTTCATGTATAAAGCGAAGTGGAAAACTTACAACATCCCCAAAGACAAAAAAGGAAATAACGCAAATATCTTGGGTAATTCTAAGGACGTAATACTACCTACCTACTCAATAAGAAGTACAACTGAATATATTTAGCAAAACTTAATACACAATTTGTCAGCTATTTAAAAAAATCAATAAGCGATTTGATCAACACATACAAAAAATAAAATTAAAACTGAAATTCATAAGTGATACATCTAAATATTTTAAATAACAGGTTATACTAACATAGCAGGTCTATTACAAAACAATACACCGATTCATTAGTCGATCATTGTAATAGGTATGATTATACATTCGATTTAAATAATAATTATAATTAAAAGAAAATGTAATTTGTTAAAGCGAAAACGCATTAAAAGTGCACTAATTTTGGAATTCTCTACAGTAAACATAGAACATATCTACCTTCCTCACAAAATTACTACTATTACAATATGCAGTATTTAAGACCATCAAAAAAAAAGCTATTAAAAGCTGGATGATACAAGCTAAGTTAAACATCTAGATACATTGGAAGTAAAAATTTAAATTTAAAGCTGCGTTTGTTTCATTTTTCACCTTTTCCTCACCTTTTGCATATAAAACTGATTTCATCAATAAAATTATGTTCATTAAGCACTTCCTTTTCTGTTTCATTGCAATTATTTATGATGCTTTTGTTTCACTGCATATGCCATTTCATGTCATTGTGTACGGTCTCTCGTCCATAATTTCACTTGTTACCTGTTCTTTTTTCTTTTCTCACGTTGTCTTCTGCTGTTGTGGACTGCACATATTTATTTGAAAAAATTAGTCGCTGTGAATTTTGTCGTATTGCAATTTAGGCATTGCTTTGGGTATTAATTTTGTAATTTTAATTTACATAAACTGGGAGGTGATCACTCCCTCAGTCAGCGCTTCTATATTTTTGCGTGAAATCTTTTACAGTTCTTAGTCGTTTTTTTATGGTCGAGTAGTCTATTTGTCCCAAATTCACAAGCGCTTGAGTGTTCTTCAGATCAAGTGTTGTTTATTATTTGGATATACGCTGTGCACTAATAAATCTATTTTCACAGTTCTTTTACTTCAGCCAAGTCCATACTTACCAGACATGTCACTCACTTAATCACTTCCAACGTCTGCATTTAAGTCTATGATCCTAATAATGGATCCTTGTGTCGTGCTCTGAGATTTGGTATTTTCTAGGGAATTGTAAGTTATATCTATTTATTACTTGGTAGTTACTGACGTGGATGAGCATATACTATATTGCCATATTGAATAGTTTTTGTTTTAGTTTAATCAGAAAAGGACAGTACTATAAAACGCACTTTCACTTGTCTTCAGTCCAATTTCTTTCTCTCACGTATATCATTCTGTAGTTGTAAAATCTCCATTGCATTTCCAACTTGTTAGCCATGACCGTAAATAATCCACAGCATTAGCCATAAACAAAAGAAACATAAAAACACCCATCTCCTCTTCTCCAGCTTCCCCTATTCTCTAGGTGATTTATATACACATCCTTCGATATCTACAGTCCACTAAAGGAGTAGTAGAACTTGGGCTGAAGATTGCAATTTAGCCTGAAACTTGCAGTCACCATGCATGGCTTACGGCCACATGACGTTGAAGCCCCAGTTCCCGTACGATCCCCGAAGTTAAGCAAGGTCGAGCTTAGTCAGTACTTAGATGGGTGACTACATGTAATGGATAATGGCTCGGAATTGTTAATCGGAGATCCGACTTCCACTTCCCGTTGGGTTCGTTATATTCCCTTACACGCAAATACCGTTGGGAAAGATATGAAACCACCTCTTCTCCCACCAGCTTTGGGTTAATTAGTAACACTTGTATTACTAAACCATTATTATCTAAAAAAAATATTAAAATCTAAAAATATATTTGAGCTTTAAATAACCTGCAATGGGTTAATAAGGCATAGAAAATGAATCAATCAAATAAAAACCAAGTCTCCATGCAATGTTGATTCCTATATCCACACTGTCTTTCCCTCTGTTTCTCTATCTATCTCTCTATATATATATATATATATATATATATATATATATATATGCAATGTGTCTGTGTCTGTGTCTGTGTGTACATGAAAATTATACTTATAAATTGCAGAATGGTGTATCGTTTATTTATATTCATTTTGTAAAATGTAATCAGTAAATAGTCCAAATTTCAAATGCGGTTGCATATGTTCACTTGATACTAATCCGCTTGAAAAATGCACGGACCTACTTCCCTTTTTGTTTGTTCTATTCTATCGCCAGACATGTTGACGCTTGACAAAATGTTTTGTCTTTGGCATCCTACGAAGACTGAAGAATTTGACATTGGATGAGTAAACACTTTCACAAAACTTTCTCCCATTATGCACACATATGTATATAATTACTATAATATTGACCCATTTCAAGTGGTTAAATTATTATTATTGTATAAAAACTATAAATTCACCAGAAAAAAAATTCTTACACTCCAAATAAGGGTTGATAAACAGCCAAAAATATCAAATAAAAAAAAAACTCTAGTAATACACTAGTCGACATTTTTGGGACATAACGTAAAATTTTATTGTTATTACAATATATATTTTTATTTTATTTTTTTAATCGGTATCACCCCAAGAAAAGCAGCACAACCACTAACAAGCAAGGAGTTACCGGGTACAGAGGAATTATGAACAGAAACATCAGTAATGAGTAGAAAGAGAAAAGAGTAATCAGGAGTATAGTAGATAGCGATTGACATTGCATTTAAACTTTGGCAGATTAAAGTTGGCTGGAAAGTATGGAGCCCGGCATGGAGTTCCACACACGAGAGGTGCAAGAAAAGAAACTCTTAGCATAAAAGTTACGGCTACATCTAGCTAGTTCAAATGTGAATTGATGAGATCTCGCTGCCAGTCTAGTATTCATACAGTCTTGGTACCATAACAAAAAGCTCATCCGAACATTTACCCTGAAAGTATTTATAAAAAAGGCACAAAGAGGCAACTGATTGCTGATTCTTCTTTGGATCTTATCCAGGTAAACAGCAATGGTAGACTTATAGACATGCAACATAGATTCCGGAGAGAAAAATTGTCTTGTCCGGCACAGCTGACCAAGCAATGGATTCATTATAGTCTTTCCACTTCATGTCATCTGAGAACGTTAACCCGAAGAGGCGCAACGAGTCACTTTCCTGGAGGATAGCATCAGCCATGCTGATAGAAGGCATAGAGGAGTCTCTCAGATGATATATGTGTGTGTGTGTGTATGCGTGTGTGTATTGTGGAGTAAATAAGACATCCCCGGTAACACAAATTAACTAGGCAAGACCCCTTAAATAAAGAACTCCAATGAGTCAATAGAAGTCGGTTGGAGTCAGTCGGAGAGAATTCTAGAGCAGCCTAAGCAAGACATAATATTATAACCGCTTGGAGTGGCATGAGGGATGGAAGCTCATACGGAATTGGAAAAAGTACTTATTTTTCTTCGGCCTACATGATAACAGTAACGACGAGTAATTAGAATCACATTGGTTTATTTTTTTTCTCTTTGTTGTGTAAAAAAAAAGCGAGAGAACCCCCCCCAGATATTCTTCAACTATGAAAGAATTATTACCCCCCCCCACTCGTCAATGTGTTTGACCATAGTAACACATTTTTGTCCTAATCATTCTAACCTATTTAATGGTTTAGTTAGAAATCCCGGTTCGAAAGAAAAATCGAAAAAGAGGAAAATTGAATGTCTTTGGCTAGATGTGAAAGTTTCTCGTCAGTATTCTCATGATCTAGTTGGCCGAATCTTCTTGCTTGGTAAAATGTCAGAACATGGAATTGTTTTCGCCGTTTCTTTCTCCTGTTGTTCTTAATTTTATTTAAAGCATGTCTCCCAAGCCCACTATTTGGTGAGGGCGGAGGATTGGCCGTTGATCCCCCCTACCAGCTCGATGCTTGGACTTAAGGTAAGCTGTACATTCACATGATATCATGAGGAAGAAAGCGGACAAACACTTGCTACCGCGTATGTTGGGGCATTTACTATGACATATCAATAAATCCGGATAACCTTATTTTCTTTTTAGAACAGACAATGGGACTTATACTAAGTTAAAACTTAATGTTGTGAAAGGGTAAAATCCAAGTGTCAGCCAGGACTCTTTGCCAATTACTCCCCCTCTTATCCTTCCCTTTGTTTTTGTCGTTCTTGTATGTGTTATATGTAATAGGAGTAGTTAGGCTTTCCTACCGCCCGGTCAACTCTCCCCCCACCCCTTCTCTTGGACATGAGTAGAGGCTTACGCTTTGTTTCTTGTTTAGGAAGGGGTTCCCGGTACTCTCTATCTCTCTGGCCTCTGTATTAGTGCAGCTTTGTTTCACCCGTGATGTGTGCAGTCTGTGGCATTACCTCTTCATTCTGAGGGTACATGGTTGACAGTTCTCTAGTTGCTATTTCCGACTGGTAGTTAGGAGCACTAACTCTTGCGTAGCGTCTTGAGCGGCCGCTCTGATCAACAGTTGTATAATACCGGGGTGTTTGTAGTGCCATGTCGCGCATGGAAAGGTGTCCCTGCAGTCACCTCCGGTGGGCAACCCTGAGGCCACATTATGATGCAGGCTGTGCCAACTCCTCTCTGCCCACGTCACGGCCGATAACTGTCTGCTTCTTTTACTTCGGGCCTTCTCATCTTCCAACGAAAATTCCACATAACTTACAAAGACCGAAAAAGTAATCCTAAACCAGCCACTCAAAAATCACCAACATCCGTGGCATTAGAACAAACTTCTGCAGTATGGAATCTTTCCTCACTGCAAACTGCCCGGATATACTGGCTCTCTGTGAGACCAACCTTGTCTCGTCTACCCACTCCTCTGATCTCTCGATCCCAGCCTACCTTTCTCTCCTCAGAAACGACTCTCTGACCCACACGCACGGCCTTGGTGTCTACGTCAACCACCATCTCCCTCTGGCCAGAGAGTTGTCTCTCGAATCGCCAGACCAATTTTTACATGTGTCCCCGACTATCTCTTCTCAATGCGGTAAGCTATCTCTTCTTCCTTTACCGCTCTCCATCCTCTCAAGACTGTGAAATACTCTGACATTTCTGACAGCATAGACAAGGCTCTCTCCCTCCACCCGTTCGCTCACATATTTGTGTTTGGCGACTTTAACGCCCATCATACCATGTGGCTTAAGAATGCTACTACTGACCACGCAGGCATTCAAACACACAATTTTTCAACTCTCTCAATCCCTCACGCAGATAGTTAACTTCCACACTCATTTTGCCTTCAACCGGGAAGGTAAAGCCTCTCTTCTCGATCTGTGTTTTACCTCCATCCCCGAGTCTTGTAGCGCCACGCAACTCTGCCCTCTTGGTAACTCTGATCATGCGGTAGTATCTGTTAACATCTCCTTCAACTCCACCCCCTGCAAAGAACCTCCTACCACTAGAACTTCGTTTTACTATCAACGAGCTGACTGGGACTCGTTCCATGATTTCCTCCGCGATGTCCCCTGGGATGTTGTCTTTACGCTCCCCGTCGAAGAATGTGCTCATTCTGGGTTAAAGCTGGAATCGACGCTTTCATCCCCTCAAGGAAATATAGGGTCAAGTCGCGCTCTTCCCCCTGGTTCTCCGCTGCTTGCTCAGCCGCCATCGCCCATAGGAACCATTTCTTTCACCTATTCCGTAGCGACATTTCTGACTGCAACAGACGTCTCTTTGCCTCCGTCCGTAACGAGTGTAAGCGTGTCCTCAACGATGCTAAGTCACTATTTGCTGCTCGGATGAAGAAGCGTATTGCATCTCGCAAATTTGACTCCAAAGATTATTGGCGTCACTGCAAGAGCGTATTGAACGATTGCAAACCCTCTATACCTCCTTTGTTCAACCAGTTCGAAGTCCTGACGTCCTCTGCCGACAAGGCTGAATGCTTTGCTCGGAAATTTTCATTCAACTCAACGCTCGACTCTTCCGGTGTATCCATACCCGACTTCCCTCTTAGAACTGAGGCCCTATTGAGTAGGTTACACATAACTCCGTTTTTGGTATTGGGCATTATCTCCAATTTAGACCCCAACAAGGCTAGTGGTGGAGATGGGATACCAGCCATTGTCTTGAAGAAATGCGCGCCTGAACTGGCGCCCGCCCTCTCTAAACCATATAACTACTGTTTCAAGGAATCTTGTTTTCCTGACTGCTGGAAGTCCTCTTCGATTGTTCCTGTCTTCAAGAACTCAGGCGACCCCTCTGACCCTTCTAACTACTGTCCTATGAGTCTCTTACCCCTCTTCGGCAAAGTCTTCGAAGCCGTAATCAATACTGAAGTGGTTACCTACCTTACATCCCATGACTGCTCTCAGACAATGTGATATACAGCTGATGTGCTTACGGCCATCACTGAAACTGTCTACCAAGCTCTTCAAAATAACGGGGAAGCTCGTGCCGTGGCCATAGATATCTCCAAAGCGTTTGATAGGGTTTGGCATGCCGGCCTTCTTCGCAAGCTGCAGGGTTATGGCATTACGGGTCGATTGTTTGACCTAATACAATCATTCCTGTCAAACCGTGAATTGAAGATCGTTCTCAACGGATTCTCCTCCAATTCTAATCCCACGAACGCAGGTGTTCCCCAAGGTTCCATCCTAGGCCCCACTCTATTCCTTATCTACATAAATGACCTTCCTGACGCCATAAATTCCC